TTTAGTATTGTTTAAAAATACCTAACAACACTCCAAATTTATATATATGTATGTCAAACTTATTTTCATGGTATATGGTATATCACCTAATAAGTGGAGTAACCTCTATAAAAACTCTAAAAAATATTTTAAGATTCAAAATATTAGAAATATTGGATCTTGTGGGTGCTTTGGACAAGTCGAAATAAATTTTTGTTTGAGGATAAGTCTTTCTCTGAAACAGAGATGATCCAAAAAGCCATCACTTTGGCAAAAGAATGGCAAGTTGCTCAGGCAGGCTCTGGAAGTAAAGCTGTTTCGCCTAAAGACTATCTGAATGTGCAGGAGGCACAAACTCATCAAAACCCAAAAGTACCACCCAACTCGCTAATCTGTTACTCGGATGCTGTTTGGCACAGCTCCTCCGGTGACAGTGGTCTGGGATGGATTGCTACTGATCCAGACGGAACTGTTCAGTTTCAAGGATCTTCGACCCGCCAGTTTGTTGCCTCAGTTCTGATGGCAGAAGCTATGGCGCTACACTCGGGCCTTTCTTTGGCTGTTTCATCAGGTTTCAAGGACGTGGTCTGTGTTACAGACTCTAAGTGTTTAGTTGGCCTGCTCACAGGAGCCTCTTCTGTGTTTGCACTAAAAGGGATCATCCACGAAATCAGTGTGTTGTCCAAGTCCCTTAACTCTGTCTCTTATCAGTTTATCTCTCGTGTCTGTAATTCTGTTGCAGATCGTATCGCGAAAGATGCTCTGTTTTTGTTTTCAAACTCTCCCTCTGGGATGAGAAACTTTGTTTTAAGTGTTTAAGTTATGAAAGAAAAGGTTTAACCAAAAAAAAAAAATTTAAACTATGACAAATAGTTTTCGAAAGTTTTAGAAAATTTATTAAAAATATATCAAATTGTTTTAGAAATATGCTAAACTCACTGGTAATATTTATAATAAACTGTAGTTAGGTTGGGTTGGAGTGTGGCTTTCTACACGCCAGATCGTCTTTCGTTGGAGATGAAAACTGGGTGTCTTTTTCGTTAAATATTTATTCAAAAAAAAAATTGTATTCAAAGATGTCAATATATGTCATGATGCGTCTATCGTTCTGACAAAATCAATCTAAAAGTACAGTTTTACACGATGCTGTTCCACTAAATGAAGAAGACTTAAAATTATATATATATATATATATATATATGAAGAAGACTGAGTTTGAAAGTGAAAACTGAAAAGGGATAAAATATGGTATCGTGTCGTACCAAATAGTCCCTGAAATTCATGATGATGTTTGTCACTGACCACATAGCTTACAGTGGTCAAAGCTTTGAATCAGGGTCTCAACAATGAAACAATCTTCTGCCCTACTTCCTACTCCTGTCCTCCTATGAATTGTACTCCATTTTTACCAAGTTAAATACGACAACAATATCTAGTTAATAATTTTAACTGACACAAATCTTCGCGTGCGTGCAAGTGTGTGCCTGTGGATACTAGAATGATGCTTGGAATGGTATAACATGCGAATTTAAAAGTGAACTAATTAAAGTAAGCATATCACTACAAGAAAGAGGTCTTAATTCCGACACTCAAGTTTGTCGGAACATTATTGGAAAACGTCATCTCCGACATTTTTCCGAGAAACTTCAATACGTCGGCGTTTGATGGTCGGAAATACTATGTTGTCGGTGAGTTCTCGGAAATGGCCGAGAATATGTGTTCTCGGAAAAGTCGTCGGTAGTTAGTGACGTGATTCCGACAAACTTTAAAAATTTAATTAAAAAAAAATAAATGCAAAAAACGAAATTATAAATAAAAAAGAAAATAATTTAAATCCATTAATATATTACAGCCAACAAATAAAAGTGAATATAATGTTCCTACCAAAAAAAATAAAAGTTAATATAAAGTGTCGGTGGAAGGAGCTAGGCGGTGGTGGCGGAAAGAAACGATGGTGTCCAGTTAAACATCATCGTCGGTGAAAGGAGCTACGGCGGTTGTGGCAGAAAGAAACGATGGTGTCCAGTTACACGTCATCAATAAATCCTTGATGGTCTTCTCCAAAATGTTAGATCTGAAACAAAGAGATGAGAAGAAAATCATTAAATCAAATAATATGAAGGCGAAGAGAAGAAAATTAAGGCGTAAGGAAGAAAAAAGAAGACTGAGATCTCAGAAGTTAATGCAATTATCGGATGTAAGAGGAAGGAACCTATAAACCATGAAGCAAAAGAAATTAAAGAAATATCGAAATATAAGGAAGATTTGATGAAGTTAATGAAAGATCTGAAAAAAGAAAATTTTGCAGGAGAAGAATAAGAACATGAAGGAAAACAGAGAAGAAAATAAAAGAAGTAAGAAGAAGAACGATTAATGAATCATTTTACTAGGAAACACCTCTATGGCAGATTTATTTTGAAACAAAAAACAATTTTTTATAGAACTTGACGGAAATTTGACGGAAATAATTAAAAAATCAAATAAAGTTTCACGGTTAATGTTGACAAAAAATGAAAAATATTGACGGTCACTGTTCACGTTCGTTACCGAGAAAGCTCCGATAAGATCTATAATTATTTTTGACACTTGACCGAGAATAAATAAAATTGTCGGTAAATGTACTTTAGCGAGAAATTTCCGACAAGAAGTTCCGAGAATCTTCCGGCAACAGGTTTACATCGGAAATTTCTGAGATGATTCCGACAACTTCCTTACGTTCTCGGGAATTTATCGAAAGTCTGTCTATACATTTCTGACAAAAACGATTCTCGGAAAAGTTCATCGGAGTCGGCACACTTTTCTTGTAGTGTATGTATTATGCATATTATATTTCATTAGTCGAACCAGCCTGTATATCCATTTGCTATATCTATTATGAGTTTTTCTGAATTATCCATTAATTAGGACCGTTATCTAGATGATTTTTAGTGATCCAATCTGCACTTCGGAATATCATCAAAACAAAATCGGTTGCATCTTCAGATGCCGGAACTGCTGCACAAGAAATATATCAACACAGGTATTATAGATATGGACAATCTTCTCCATTCTTTCTTTTAAAAAAGTAAAAAGACCTTCTTTCTTCAGTTACAAGTTCATACAATTTCAGAACCAAAAGAGTACGACCAATGGTTTTGAGGGAGTTTCGGTCCCAATACGAACCCGAATTCGAATCTTGCTAGTTATTGGAGGTAAAATTTAAAATATGAGTTCTCCCGGCGTCTGGTGAACGAGGTGGTACTCTGATCGATAACGTAGGCTGATACAAACACTCGCTGCTAATCTGGATCCACCTTGGTGGATATTAAGATACACCAGATTATTCAAAAAAAAAAAAGTTCATACTATGTTTTTTTATACAATTCGACCGAGATATCGTTCTTTAGCTGTTAAGGGGAATGAATGAGAGTCAACACTTAGTCTCATGACATAAATATGTTCACGTTACAACAATCAGTAAAGAAATCTTAATCTATTCATATTAGAACTCCAGTCTTTGTCAGTTTATCAGGCAAGTTCAATAATTAGTTGTAACGTCGCACTGAACACTAATTTTTGTGTTTTATCTCTGATCCGGTCAACTCTCCGGCCCCCACCCTTTTTGTCTAGTCACCGACATATATTACTTCTCAATTTAATGTTACATCTATTGTAAACAAGCTAATACTTTTTGTCTTTTTCTTTTGTTTGTTACAAAAATCAAATTATCTCCCTGCGCATTTGTTCTTGTTGTCATGAAACATAAAATAGCCAACAATAACTGAAACGAAAAAACAAGATAACTAAGGATCATACTTGCAAGATAATAAGTCATGAGAGTGAGCATATAGAGTTTGCATTTATTTAGTAAGAGCAAGTATTTATAAAGGAAGCGAGACGGTGAAATGCACGAGAAAGAGAGTAATTAAGCAGATAACATAAAACTGAAGAATAAAACGGTGGAATGCACAAGAAAGATAACAAAGAGAAAGAGTGTTAAGCAAATACGAAGTGGTACACTCTAACAGCGGTGGGTTATACGGATGCCATACGCATCATGTGAAACCCCCAAAAAGAAAAAAAAAAAAAAAAAAAAAAAACACTGATTTCTGTTACATCACCTTTTACAATTTTGCTCCGTCCAATTCTCTTTCGGTTGTTTTTACATTGTATGTATATATTATGAGTAGTTGAAACTCATGTGTTTTATTTTTAAATGTGAAGTTACTACTTACTATTCAAACCTAAAATAGCTTTTTAATATTTAGATGCTTCTATATTTTGAGAGATTTTAGAGTTTAGATCAAGACAGAATCAATGTGTTCTAAAGTGATGTCTATGTTTTGCGTCTACTTATTATGCTAAAACCAATATTCGATTCTTTTGATATAAAGTAGTTTCAATGCTTATATTCGAACGAAAAATATATTACATATGCTTTTAACTTTGCAAAACTAATCTACTTTTATGTTTTTGAATATTACTTTAAACACAATTTACATTAAACTCGCAAAATAATGTGTACTTACCAATGAATCAATGTGTTCTAAAGTGATGAATCACGTGCTAGTTGTTATGTAATAGGTGTATGATCCTATACACAGTTTCTTTTTGTGCATATACATATGAGTATGTAAAATTATGAAGGGAGGCTTTACCATTGTTTTGGTTCAATTATGCAATAATAACTTATACAGAGAAAACTCTAACTCAAAATTGCCATGATTAGTGGAAGATGTATATGTAATTTTATTTATCAAAAATAGAGAGAGGATAACCTCTTCTTTTCAAAAGTATTAAGAAATTACTGTTAAATAGATAATTTTATAATAGGGACAAGTGGTGTTACATAGGGAATAATAATTGGAATATATATATCTAAGTTAGATATATATTGTTATATTAAAAAAGAGGGAAAGTGACAATTATTTGAAGAAAAAAATTTTGAAAAAAAAAAGGAGAGAGAGTTTGGTAAGGAAGGAAGATGAGTAGAGATGAGTCTATAAAAGAGAGATATGTGGGAAGAGGCACGCTCCACTTTTCTCCACCTTTCTTCCATTTTATCTCTCTCTCTCTCTTTCTTTACACTGTTCGTGTGTGTGTGTGAGTAACTTTCTTTCTCTCAAAAAAAATGGATTCGATCAATTTCGATAACGTGAAAGCAGAGAAGGCCAAGGCGTTGCGGCGATACAACCGCTTCCGCGGAATCGGACGTTTCTTCCGTGCGGCTGAGGTCTGCGTCGCCATCCTCTTCATATTATGGACGTTTACACGTCTTCCTTTCGCCGTTCAAATCTCCAGAGAGTTTCTCCGCCGTGTCGCTGGCGTTATATCCACTCCACTCTTCGTCTTTCTTTTTGGAAACTGCATCGTCCTTGTTCTCCTCACCAAGTCCTCTGTAGAGGAAAACAGAGGATCCTCGTCCTCCAACGCAGAAACAGAGATCTACGAGGCGTTGGTCAGATCCAAGCCGTGTGATGAAGGAGAGTTGGCAGATGATCAGATCATTTACGACGACAAAGAAGTGATCGTTGTCACTGATCCTTCAAATAATATTCCTCATGGTTCAGATACGAGTTCCGTTTCAGATGAGCCTAAGGTGTATGGAAGAAGCAAGTCCGAAGTTGATTGTCGAAAGCAGCAGAGTAGTGAAGATGATCATATGGTGGTGATCCCTACCCCTTCTTCTCTCCATAGATCGGAGACGGAAAAGTGCATGAAGATCCAAGATAATAATAACTCGTGGGAGGATAGTAATAAAAATAAGAATAATAATAATAATTATGAGGAGGATAACCTTAGCAACGAAGAGTTTCAGAAAACGATTGAAGCATTCATAGCCAAACAGCGCATGTTTCGTCGCCAAGAATCTTTAGCCGTCGTCCTCCACAACAACCAATCCTAATTATCATAAACAAAAAAAAAAGAAGGGTATCGGATTCTATTACCAAATTCCGAATCAACACTACGTAACAAACAATGTTTTGTTAACCATATGGAATCTTATTTCAATATTCCAGCTAGTCGTGTGTAAAAATCTTATCCCTGCAGCTCTCTATGTACAGTAGTAATTAGTTGCTTATCAGGGAAGATATAATAATATATATCTTTTTTTTTTACTTGTTCTTTGCTGTAGTGACTATCACTTATTCATACAAACTTGAAGTAGAAATGTTGTCTCGTGACTATGTAAATTATGCCTTTTACCAGAACCCCCTTTTCCTATTACAAAAAGCTTTTAGTGTTATCCACGAACAATCTGTTTAGCTCTGTCTTTTTTTTTACTCTTTGCATGAAACCACCGTCTGGATTACTTAACCAACAATTGCGTTAAGGAAAAGGAAAAAAATTAACCCTGCAATAAATATCTACTAGAGCACTTTGATTGATATAGATGGTTTCCAAAATACAAAATAATTAGCCCTGCAAGATTTATCTACTAGAGCATTTTGATTGATAGGGTTTCCAAAATACAAGAGACTGTTTTAAGATATTAAATTATATAAGACCATGTGCATCGGTGGGAACGTGGGGATCCTTAACCACCGGTCCATCGAATTAGTCATTTTTTTAATAATATTTAACCCCAAATGGCTAAGGATCAATACGTAAATAAGGATTTATTTTCGTTGATCCTTAGCCACGTGTCACGTTTTGGCTGGTCGGTGGTTGATACGGTTTGTGTTTTGTCGCGAAAAAAACTCATTTCGATCGAAGAGGAGAAAAAAAAATAGCTCTGGAGAAAAGGCGATTTTGGAGAACTCGGTCGAGAAAGGTAGATCGAAGGTTCATGTTGCCGATTTATGTGTTTAGATTAGGTCTTTTGTTGTTTCCTTTCAATTTAGGGTTCGGTTTTCTCGTTTTCGATTGATTTGTGTTTTTCAAATTAGGGTTTCGAACGATTTGGGATTTCAATCTATCTTTTGTGATTTAGGGTTTGAAAACGATTTAGGTTTCCAACAATTTCTGGATATTCTCGTATGCTTTGTAATCGAACTTTTGGGATTTAGGATTTCAATCGAACTTTTGGGATTTAGGGTTTGACAACGATTTAGGTTTGAAATCGATTTCCGTTTTAAAACCCCTCTGTTTCTGTATTGATCCGTGATTGTCTGTGTTTCGGTATTGCTTCGTGTCTGTAGTTGTTTCGGTATTGCTCTCTGTTTGTTGTTGTCTCTGGTTTCCCTAGGATTTCTTTAACACACAGTATGATTGTTGGTTATAGATTTAGAGCACTAACTATTGTTATTACATGATTTCTTTCAGATTTACTCATCATGGGACAAGACTATTCGTACACCCAGCCTTCCTCATCATCAGAGTTTGACATGACGTCACTTCTTGAAGCAGAAGCTCAACTCTACGCGGATGAAGTTTCGAGTAGCTACTTTGCAGAGCCGAGTCAGTACACATCTCAAGCTGAGGCTGATGCTGGAATCCCTACCAGTTGCTACTATGGTGGTGAGCCTGCTGTTGGTATATCCTACACGAGCAAACATCCAGGGAGGTTGTACTTCACGTGCGACAATGTGGACGACGGGGAGTGCCACATTTGGAAGTGGTGGGACGTGGCTGTCACAGAGGAGATGAGTGAGGTGCAGAGACAAGTTAGACACCTTAAGGATCAAGGTTTTCAATGTGATGAGAAGGTGGTCAAGGTACAGAAGACCGTGTGTGAGCTTAAGAAGACCGTTCGAGAGCTAAAGACCGTTTGTGTAGTCGTCTCCGTATTAGCTTCTATAGGTTTGGCGGTTATGTGTGTGACTGGTAAGTATATCTCTTGTGTTTTGGTTGTTCTTCATGCAATTTAAGTAAGACTATTGACTCTTGGATCTCTTGTTTTTTGCAGGAAGAGCTTCAATGGTCTAAACCACATGTCGGCATAATTAGGTACAACACTACAACTTCGTTTAATAAAGGTTCAACATTACAACTATGATCTACCTTAATATATGATACTTTAATATAAGAACTAAAAATAAATAAAATGATATACTTTAACATAAGAACTAAAAATAAATAAAAAGATATACTTTAATATAAGAACTAAATAAATCTAATCTATAATGATATACTTTAAAATAAGAACTAGTCACTAGTTAAGATGCAAGTAGTTACCGTAAATGGTAACTAGTTACTACTCTTTAGATGTAACTAGTTACTTCTCTTTGACTTAGTTTTATATAAAACTAGTTACCGTTATAGAACTAGTAAAAGAAGAGTGGTTGCTTCCTACCGCCTAAGATGTGGTTGTTTTTAATGTTTTACAGCTTTAAATTAGGATGTTAGTGTGATTTGATTGGTGTTTAATGCAACTATTGAGCTTTCTATCTTCCTATCTGCTTCGTCTTTATTGCCTTTAAACCAAATCAAATTTAAGGTTGCCTACTTAAGTCGTTGTGTTGCTATTACAGTGACACAACCGAGTCTCTAAACATAGATAACAACTCTAGCTATGTTAACCTTCTGTTTAGCCAAACCCAAGCATCAGTGGACCTTGATTCACCCGAACCATTTTGGTTCGGTAGCCAAGGTCCGGATCCGTCTCCAAGTCTCGACTCTGGTGGTCTCTCGAGGAGGAAGTGGTGCCCGAGGGAGGATAGAATCCTTATTTCTGCGTGGCTTAACACCAGCAAAGATACGGTGGTGAGCAATGAGCAGAAAGGTGTAGCGTTTTGGAAGAGAATAGTTGACTGCTTCAACGCAAGCCCTCAATTTGTGGGAGAAACACCTAGAGAGCTTGGTCAGTGCAAGCAGAGGTGGACTAGGATCAACGAGCAAGTCTGCAAATTCGTTGGTTGCTATGACGCGGATTGGAGAACACCATTGGACTTGAAAAACGGATGAAGATCCTTAACTATTCAAAAAGTACAAAAAATTATTAAAAAAAGGCTAAGGATTGCTTGGTGACAAACACCAATGTGCATGCTCTAACTATCCATTTTTAATTATATAACTAGATTTTAGTGATAAACAATAAAAATTACATTTTAAAATACATGTTATAATATTTTATGGCTTTCTCATAAATCCTCATATGAGAATCCTTTCTCATTTTTCTTTTTTACTTTCTTTTTTGATTTTTATATAGTTTATAAGTTAAGATACATCTGAAAAACCCCAATGATCCTTTCAAACATCCCCAGTGATGTTTTTATCTCATCTAGAGAGATTGGAAAGCGTAGGATAGTTTAGTACATTAAATTATCCTGCGAGTAGATGCAAATAATCCAACAAACAGAGAATTTACAACCGTGTATCGATTTCAAATACAAGCATAGACATGTACTGGCACACATGGTGTGTAGTAGTGAAGAAAAAACTAGATGTTGTCGAAATAAATTAACGATGGCAATAGTAAATGGAAATCTATGGTGTGTAGTACATGCTTTGATTATTGTATATCTTTAGTTCTTTACTATCATCTTAAATCAAAGGAAGCTTCATTCTTAATGCCTCATGGGAATGATTGATGGTCTAGTAAGTCATCTCAATAATCTCATAGTCTTCGACTATAGGATTAAAATAAATAAATAAAAATTCAATAAAATAGTAGTATTAATTTGCTGAAGCGGCCGTGTTTTGATGGGGGCATTGGACCAAATCATAGTGTAATGATTTTGAATGCAAAAAGTTAAATAATTTTCACTTTTATGAGACACCCACGCAGAAAAATTAAGAAGAAAAGTGACTTTAGTTTTCACTAAGTCCCGTAATCTCTGCCCTACTTAAATAAAAGTCGGTTCTTTCACCCTCCTTTTGACAGATTTCAGATTCCCTGATATCAAGCCGATCAATCTTTTGCATGATATGAATTTTAAATATCTTTTAATTTGATTATTTTGTAGCGTTATTGATTGTTGCATTTAATTGTTAACTATAGGAAGACTTTTTGATTAGGAGCAATCATGATATTTACACCATGAGCGGCTAGTGCTATTGGTGTTGCTGGATTTTTCACTAACACAATGACAATGAATTATAAAGTTTGAGTTACATTATTATCAATTTTACGTTAGATTATCTCCTGTTTTAATTACAAATCATTTAGTTTTTTTTTCTTTTGCTAACACACACTACTAGACTTTCTTGTAATTGCTAAAGTCCAAAGTGTGTTTAAGAGATTTTAATATATTCAGTCCATTACTATTTATACTGCTCTTGGAAGCCCAAAAGGTACACCAGTCCTAATACATATAGATCATTAAATTATTTGTAATCGGTCAATGCTTGCCGGTGATTTGCCAAACATGAACGACTTTACGTAGCCTTACAGATATTCACCTGTTAAGTTACCAAATTAATCTTTTCACCTCTCTTCGTCTTCTATAGCCTCTATATAAGATAACCAAAGCTTTTTAAAAACAAACACAAAGCGGGTCGTGCACCTCACTCCTCTCCCATTTCTTCTGATCAATGGCCTCGGAAGACAATGTGTCCAGATCCGAAGCTGTGGCCACTCTTAATGGCGACGATTCTCACATTGCGTCGCAGCCAAGGAAGGTTGCACTGGTCACTGGAATCACCGGGCAGGACGGTTCATACCTGACCGAGTTCCTGCTCGGAAAAGGCTACGAAGTGCACGGCCTGATCCGACGATCCTCAAATTACAACACGCAGCGGATCAACCATATCTACGTTGATCCCCACAATGCCAACAAAGCTCTCATGAAGCTCCACTATGCTGATCTCTCTGATGCCTCCTCCCTCCGTCGTTGGCTCGACGTGATCAAGCCAGAAGAGGTCTACAATCTTGCTGCTCAGTCCCACGTGGCAGTCTCCTTCGAGATCCCTGACTACACTGCTGATGTGGTCGCTACTGGAGCTCTCCGCCTCCTGGAGGCTGTCAGGTCTCACATGGCTGACAACGGACGCACCATCAGGTACTACCAGGCCGGATCCTCGGAGATGTTCGGGTCAACTCCACCACCGCAATCTGAGACGACGCCGTTTCATCCTAGATCTCCCTATGCTGCCTCCAAAGTCGCCGCTCACTGGTACACTGTCAACTACCGAGAAGCATACGGCCTGTACGCCTGCAACGGGATCTTGTTCAACCACGAGTCACCCCGACGAGGCGAGAACTTCGTGACTAGGAAAATAACTAGGGCCTTGGGGAGGATCAAGGTCGGGCTGCAGACAAAGCTCTTCCTAGGAAACATACAGGCGTCAAGGGACTGGGGGTTCGCGGGGGACTACGTGGAGGCAATGTGGCTGATGCTGCAGCAGGAGAAACCAGATGACTACGTGGTAGCAACAGAGGAGTCACACACCGTCGAGGAGTTTCTGGAGGTGTCCTTCGGGTACGTGGGGCTCAACTGGAAAGACCACGTGGAGATCGACAAGAGGTACTTCAGGCCAACGGAGGTTGACAATCTGAAAGGAGATGCGAGCAAGGCAAAGGAGTTGTTGAAGTGGAAGCCGAAGGTAGGGTTCGAGCAGCTGGTGAAGATGATGGTTGACGAAGATCTAGAGATGGCTAAGAGGGAGAAAGTGCTTGTTGATGCTGGTTACATTGACGCTCAGCAGCAACCTTAATCTCCAAGCAGCTGCCCAAGAAAGAGTCTTAGCATTATCTGTTTTTCAAGTTTTTTTCCCATTTCCTGTTTACTCGTTTCATAAACTACAAGTCATCATCCACTGTGGATTTTGTGTATCAAAAGCAAACAAAGCGAATAACATATTAATTTTCCTACATCACAACAAATGACTTCCTATTGTTTACGAGCGATTATGCATACAACTCAGATAACAAACTAAATCAGTAATGAGAGCGTGAAGATAAAAGGACAAAAGAAGAAGGATCAATAGATTCATCTTGGCATCTATTCCAAAATCAAAAGAGCGCAGAAAATCAAGTGAAAACTAGACTCACCAATCTATCTACGGTTACCGAGTATTGACTCTTATTCCTGGTGTTCAGAAGACAGAACAGTAGTAGTAGTGTTGATACTGACGGAATCAGGAGGTGCAAGAATAAAGGGAGTCACTGTTGACCTTAAGGATTCAGGTCCCTCTGCATCAAGTCTTTTACATAAAGAATCGCAGTTGTTGATCACCTCTGTCAACCTTCCTTTGAGTTCTCCAAGCTCCACCTGCAACCCATGAACTGAAAATATTTGCACCGGTGAGATAAGTGGAGAAAAGCCAATCTATCTTGTAGACTGAAACAAGGGATGATATATAGGTAATTAGGTACCATGAGATAAATGAAGGGAAGTGGTCCTCATAGCAGAAACGGAGTGGTTAAACCTCTGTAGAAGTTTAGAGGCCAAAGCATCTGCAACTTCTATCTTGTTTTCTATATCTTCCTACAGAAACATGATGATGCCAAACATGTTATAATTCATTCATGCCAAAGTTTGAGAAGAAAGAGGCAAACAGAAGGTTGAGTTGCAAAATTCACTCAAAAAAAATGAGCCTAAGAAAATGCAACAATCTTGTGATAAACCTAAAGCTCACAAAGCTAACATAATTATAATCATGGAGTCTTCCTTCAATTAAAGGAAGGAGGGGGGTGGGTCCTTGGGAGGGAGAAGGCCATAAGTCTAGATTTGGTCTTGCAGAAATATCCAGAGTACATGGAATCCCAAAGACACACTTAGTACGAGGAGTAAAGATTCCTATGTTCATTGAAAAAGAAGAAGAGAGACAGACCTGTGTGTTGGTAATATATTGAGCTTTGCAGTCTAGGCATTCACGGAAAATGGAGAAGAGCTCAACAAGTATTTGAGGATCCACCGTATCTGGGGGAAACAAAAGGCTTTTGCTGGTAAAACAATATTATCCTAAACAAGTTTTTAACTCAATGGCGGGAATAAGCAAAACAAAATATGGATGAAAAAAAAACAAGACTCACATGAAGAAGAAGAAGAAGAAGAAGATAGAGCTTTCCTAACTAAGATGTCAGTTAAACTACTATCTGTGAGAGAAGCTGACTTCAATATTGGCCTACTCTGTGCCCAAAATATTATTAAACCAAATATCAATCATCTTATAGCATCAACTCAAAAAGACTACTAGTAGTAAGCAAGTAACTCACGACGGAGAGGGATTTAAGAGTCTCGAGAAGGGGATCCACCCTTTCGGATCGATTAGATATTGTCGTTATCACATCTCCCCTTCCCTTTCCCTAACAAACATAAATTCCAATTACCGGGAATGATGGCTGGTGAATCAGATCGAGAAATCTCAATTACCTGACCCCCTATTAGCCTTGAATCTGATGCACCCATATCTGCTACTACTCATAAGAAGAACAACTTTGGAATCCAAATTGTTTGTTTCAAGCAGGTCCGGTTGAGGACGATGAGAACGAAAGAGATATAAACTATTTTCAGCAGCAACATAACGGCGTTTCCGTTATTTGCAAGCCAACACCTTGCCGTTTCCAACCAAAATTAGTCCTTTTTCACAGTACTCAGACGACAGAAAGTTTTTTTAATTAGGTGAAGGAATTGGCAGCTCGTTGGATGACTGGAGACAAAGCATGAGTTACACAAACCATGTTAGTTGGCCCCATACGAAGATACTTCAATAGGGATTACATTTATAAATAAACCCACACTATGACGACGCTTCTTATACATTCATGCATGCATCGTACAACGGTTTACTCTGGCCCTTTACTAGCCAATGGAATGACGTCGTCATACTAGTCTTGTACGAAGTTAGGGTTAACTGGTACTGCTACTTAGAAGAAGCGTAAAATAAGCCAAGATAAATAATCATGTCACACGAACGATTAGAATGTTTCTACACCAACATGTCTTTTTGGGCCTCACTTACCTCCTAGAGTCCTATAATGTGGGTACACACCTCAATATGATACTACTTCCATGAATTTAATGGAGATTTTTCTTTCTTAACCAGCTGCACATTTGATGAGGGTATGGTCTATTGATTCACCATCTAAATTTATTTAGAAAGGGACAATGCCACATGTCGCCTGTCCATGATTTACTGGATAGTGTGTCACATTGGTTTGGTCCATTCATTAATGCAACCTTCTCGTAGACTTAAAGTTGTAAAACCATTTCGAACGGTTTCAAATAAAATTCAATTTTTTTCTAACCGTAACGTAGCATAAGCAAATGTAACCAAACATTAAAGCGATAATGAATAAGATTAAAATGGGAAAATTTAAACTGAAAGCTAATGCAAACGAATAAGATACAATGAGTTTTTCACCTAATCAGTTACTAAAAACTCACCTAGATTCCTAGCATGAAAAGTCAAATTACGGTAACAAAAAACAAAAGAAATGCTAAAAATATCAAAGTAATAGTATACAAAAAGTCAATGAGATCCTAACTCGAGGCTACAACTGACTGAACCGGGCCAACTCCTAACTCTCTGCTCTAATTTTTGAAGGCCTTATTATGTTCTTCAAAAACTTGGTACAGCTTGTGGGGACTGAACCAGCTGGTTTAAAACGGTTTCATTATCTCCCGTAGGCTCCTTTTTCTGCCGCATCTCCATGACTTTGCGGTGGTGGTTAGAGTGAAGGTCGCTAGAGAATGTCGGGCTACAAGCGGGTCTGTATTCTGGTAGCAACCGACCCGACTTATACCGAACCCCACAGGCATTGCACAAAGTCTTGGCTCCCATTGGTCCAGCTCGCCACTGGGGTGTTTTCTGAACGCCACAGTGGCTGCACCGTCGAGAGGGCTGCTGCAGCAGTAGCTGACCGCTGTAAACAGACTCTGCCGACCTTTTCTTATGCTTTTTGGGAACCGGTGGTTTCTCCAACGTGGAGACTGGTTCGAGCAGCTCAGCGCCAGAGAACCAAGTGTTGGAAGGAGCCGAAGAGGTCGAGGAAGTTGAGCTGGAGGACGAAGGGCCTGAAGAGGAGGACGAGCCAAGCGACCAGATGTTGGTTCCATTCCGGTTCCGTTTGGTACGGGCTTTAGAGGGAACAGGGGATTTGAAACACGAGTCTTGTGTGACAGGAGAGTGTTTCCGGTCACCGGTTAACCAGGCTGGTTTTTCAGTCGGGGTTCCGGTGAGATTTGGAGTGAATGAATCCTCTACGAAATGGGATAGCCACTCAAGCTCCGCTATTTCATCCGTCTTTTAACAACAACAAACAAAAAGTCAGAGAAGAATTAGGGAAAAAAACGTTATATAGTGTGTATTAAGTTTACCGGAACGGAGAGTTCGCTTGGAGGGAGAGACTCAAAACCGTCTTTACTCCGGTGAAGAGAGTCTCCTTTGTTCTGTGGTTCCTCGGGGGAAACATGAAACATCTCTTCAAGAGTTTCGGGTTCAGCCTCTTCTTCCGTGAAAACGCCGTCGTCAGACAAGTCGAAGAAGTCGTCAACGGAGAAATCATCGGCGGTGGTGACGGCGTTAAAATCTTCGTGAACAGGCAGGGTCGTCATTTTGAAAGCCATGTCTTTCCTGACACTGCTTTTCAACGCTGCTTCAACACGTTCCATGTCCTATCAAAAACCTAGACAATAACCAAGAAACATAACATCTTTTTATTATCGTAACTCACCAAATAAATTTCACATTTCATATGAAACGTATAAGAAACGTTTATTCGTTCCCAATTCCAAGAGAAACAGAAAAAAAAAACACGAACCCCAAAAGAAGTGACGACACATAAACGACCCACAAAGAGAGTCAGCCACGAGACTGAAAACGTAACAAGCGAAGTAAATTCTAAGAGCATTCGAAAACCTTTTTTAGTTTCCCTAAAAATGGATACCTGAGACAGAGAGGCAAGGGGCGAGACTGCGAGAGAGAAGGAGGAAGGAGCGGCGGTGAGAAGAAAAAATGAAAAGAGGGTCAAAGAGAGATGGTTCTGTGAGTTTGGTAAAGCATTCAATTTGGTTATCTCAGCCTCTCCCTTCTCTACTTGAAACTCCCTCTCCTTTCTTATCTCTTTTAACCTTTTCTCAAAGAATATTATAAATTATACCCAACGGGTAATAAATCTATAATTTTGTCTATCCTTTAGATTCTTCTATAAATTCAACGCGTATTTACTTTTATAAAATATACAGAAAAGCTTACTGCACATTAATGTCATAATCTGTAATCAAGATTATATTCGACAACTCTTTTGAATTAGACTATATATATATATCTATATCATTGGTTCTCATTTCTTTCCTATGTATGTAAAATAGATATCTTCTACTCCTTTTATTTTACTTTTTAGGTAAACAAACAAAGAAACAAAGAAGATTACCGTTTTCTCTGTAGGCCCTTGACCGCGTTGATCGCCGCTCATCCTGGGAATTATTCCTCCCGCTCTCACTGGTTTAGATTTTTGCCTTCTTTTAGTAAAAAAATTTAAAGTTTATTGTGCCCATTAATTTTATAACTTTGATTATGGAGGAGAAAAAGAACTAAATGGAGCAAAGCATGGCTTGAGAGTAAAGGTAAAGTGTGAACTACTATGATGCAGAAACCCAAGACAATATGGCGGGCCAGCTTTTGTCCTTCTAACACAACACGAGACAATCATTCAAACAAACCCAACAAATAAAATAAATCATTCATCTAAGAAACAGGTCTATCTATCGAGACAACACAACATAAAGAAAAAACTTATCTATGGAGATTCCTTTATCTTTTCCTCTGCGTTACTCAAATTGTTGTAGATTCTCTTCTAGTCTTTCTAGCTACTAGTTGTTGCTATAGATGGATATAATTTTGTATGTTACCAACTTACCATTAGTCAAGCTGTAGAAAATATTAATTATCATGTTTTTTCTTTTAAAAATAGTATTTATTATCGACATTTACTTGAACAATAGTTTGGCATTTTGCATTATTTTGTACAAAATATAGAATGTGCATGTTGAATTAAATCAATGGAATTCTCCTCAACATTGGAAAATGTATGATGATTATCAAACCCAAACGAGCCATTATTTAAGAAAACACTTTTAGGCTAAAGTTTTTTTTCCTGGATTTTGAACAAGGAAATTTTAAGGAAAACTGGTTTTGCACCTATAAGGATTATACGTTAATGTATAGTAAGTAATCAACAATAAATGCAATCCTGGGTGAACTTAGAAATTGAATTTAAAATACTCTTGACTTATGAGGAGCCGAGCCGTCGGCTTGAGAAAGGTAGCCACGTGTTATGCTGACGTGCCGTGCTCTATATGGCTGTGTCTCATGCATTTGACGTGAGTCGACCAATGAGAATTCTCTGACAGCTAATCTTTCAGCTTTCATATTGACTCGATCTTTTATGCCTAATTTCCGCTTAAAATTCGTATATTCTTACACGGCGGGCTCATAAAATCATCCTTTGAATACATTTCTCAACGATAATAATATAGAGAACAATGGGTCAGATGTAAATGACCGAACAACCCTCGACTTATCCGTCGGTAGTGCTGCGTTGTGTCTCGTGTTTTCGTTTGTTTCCTTTTCAGATTTTGAAATGTCAAATGAAGAAGAAGAAAAATAGAGAATCTGTGAGAATGAGAGAGGGAGCTACCTATACGTCCCACCACACGAGAGCATTGTTAGCCACTTTTGAATCTTCCAAACCAACTAGGACGTTTCAGTCAGTCTTCAATTTACTTCATGGACCCTAAGTTCCTATTATTTAACTAACTTTAAAAGAATTTATATAATATGAGCTATAGGTATTTCATAAATAAACTGTCTGGTCGTATACACACGGATTCTAACTTGGAGCGGCTCACAATTGCGTTAGAGCGGGAAAGTCATTCAATTTTGTCACGGTGTCCGTGGTATGTACTTGTAGCACCTTTCACCTTACAGACTTTTCATACATTTAAAACGACCGTAACAAATGTGGTTTCAATAAAAGAACAAAGCCAAAGAACTTGTTACTTTGTCTTGTACATACATAAAAGAATCTTAAATATCATAAAAAGCTGTAAATGAGACAAGAGGACGTGGTCACTACGATTAGTATTGACTTTGTGAACCCATGATTTTATGTCCCATTATTCATTTGTCTGAAATGGGTGTTAGGTCTAGTAGTCCTCTCAAACTAATTGGGCCTAAAATGCGGCCTTTAAATTATGTATAATCTTTCCTTTGTTGTTTTATGATATATGCCACTCAGAAAATTGATCCATAATGTAAAGCCCAAAAAATAATACATGAAAAAAATAGGAATGTATCTATACATTTTTGCATGAAAAATTAAGAAACGAAAATCCGATATATAAATAGCTACATATAAAACAAAAAAAACATATGTATCTTTTTCTGATTTTCAATATGAATGAATCTTCAGTGTTACAGAAAAATGTTGACAATTTTTTTATATAAGTTCTATGAATTTATTTTTATTTAAATTAATTAAATTTGTGTTGGTCAACTTGAACTTTGATTAAAAGCCCAAGAGGCTGAAAAAGAGTACAACAAGTTCAACTTTCGAGACACGTTTTACATAAAAAACCACCGAAGAATAGAAAAGAGATAGTTTTGTTGTTGTTGTTGGTTGGTGAGCGAATGGCGATGGTTGGGCAGCGTTCTCGCCGTGTTGAAATCACGGCGGTTCACATACTCTTAATACTAGCGGTGGTTCTAAGCGATCTGTCAAAATCAGTGGGAGCCGAGAAGTCGGTGTCGGCATTCGTGCAGAACGCCATATTGTCCAACAAGATTGTCATCTTCTCCAAGTCCTACTGCCCGTAATTTTCTCCTTATTTGTCCCTGAAATTGAATTAATCCCTTCCTTTAGAATCTGAATTTGATTAAGAGCTATGACTTTTTGGCTTAGGTATTGCTTGCGCTCGAAACGCATTTTCAGCCAACTTAAGGAACAGCCTTTTGTCGTCGAGCTTGATCTCAGAGGTATGTTTTACTTTCTTATGTCTCCATTCTATTTGGATTTGTTATATAAAAAGACAACTTTGTCTTTTATTTGTGTGTGTGCAGAGGACGGAGATCAAATACAATACGAGCTTCTGGAATTTGTTGGCCGCCGTACTGTACCCCAAGTTTTTGTTAACGGCAAGCATATTGGTGGCTCTGATGGTACTATTACCTCAAAGCTGTAATCTCCTTGCTGCAGCTTTCGTTTTTCTTCAAATTTAAAGTAACTGCTTTTTATCTTGCTTCATTCAGATCTTGCCGATTCTGTGGAGAATGGTCAGTTGCAAAAGCTTCTTGCTGCTAGTTGATCTTTCAGAAGCTGTAGTGGATGTTCATGGAACTTATGCTGTTATTTAGAGGAATCTTTTGTAGTATAACTGAATCAATTATTGGTGTGTCTCATGTTCACTGACTTGATTGCTCCTTATATAATAAAGTTATGATGGGGCCTTGCTATAAACTCTTTTATATTTCCGTTATGTTATCGTATTGACTTGGTGATTGTTTGGCTTATAGATCCCATACTTGTGTGCCTTATTAGCGAATGCTTCATACGCCATTGTCGAATCAGGGAAAGAATAGCAAGTACAAAAAACAATGATAAGTCTTACTTCTTCTAGTCTACCAGTTTTCTTGGTCTATTAGGACAAAGGTTTAGGACTTTTCTGGTGGTCAGAATCCTTTTCGAGCGCTTGGTGTTCCCTCTTGGTTCTTGGAGAAACTTGGATGAATGTCACAGTAACTTCCAACATAGTCTCTAAAAGAAAGAGGAGGAAGTTGTCTTTAAAGCTACTGTAAACTTGATCCTTGTGTTGTTTTATTTCGTTGGATGTTGTTTCAGCAACTTCAGAACGTTTTCATACACGATGAATGTGATGGAGGAAGCAGGCACATTTTTCAAAAGATTAGCAGTTAAACCCTTGTAGAAACCTCTGAGACCCTCGAATCTGCAGATGAAGAACGTTTTATTCAGCCAAAAAATATCACATTTTCAAGATACAATCAAGAGACCAATAAGAAATATGTTTTTCTCAGACCTCGCGGTTTCTCTTATGACATGCAAGCTGTCTATATATCTTGGCATTCCGTTGGTATTAGGTCGTTGCTGAACAAAACAACAGAGGGAATGTTCACACCTCAAATATTGCTAATGATAATGAGCTGATGAGAATAAGATTGATATGTAGTACCTGTAATCTTGCTCGAATAACCTGAAACGGATATGTAAGAAGAACTGCAGCGACTTTGGAGCCGCCGCCAAGTGCAGCATAATCTGCCGAGTTCTAAAGAAAAAAGAAATGCAAAAAGGATAAGTGGGTGGCATTAAGATTATTGGGTCCTATATAGCCTAAGAATCCAACAATGTAGGAGGATGTGAAGAAGAAGAACTCTGTACCAATAAGTTATCAGCGGCTGTTTCCGATTTTCTTCTACTTTCTTTAAAATCGACAATAACTTTACGGAGTTCTTCATACGCTGTGAATTGAATAGCACCATGAGAAACCTGCTGAACAAACTAAAATCAGAATCAAACCTTCCCTAAAATGAAAACTAATTGTAAATTATTCAATCTGCCAACTTATGGTAGCTTCGTGAGCAGATAGGACATGAGAAAGAGAGAAAAAACACGAAGGATAGAGTGACTAACCAGTACAAGAGCAGGGAGAATACCCTTGTAGAGCGCCCTGGGTCCTTCCTCTTTCATTATGGTTCTAAAGGCATCTGCATATTTCACAAACATTCAGAAAATAAGACCAGAAGAATGAAAAAAATGAATTTGATAAGCACACCTAATAGGCCAGAGTAGGGTCGAGTATGATGATGAAGAGGTGTCTGAAGCTGTAGTCTTGTCTTGACAAGCCAAATAGGATTAGTGCATAAACAGACCTGAAAGTATCATGAGATGATTAAGATAGACACGAGATGTTGTTTTAAAGGTGGTCAGTTGGTTAAAAACGAACCAAGGCACCAGCTTCAGCAGCAGAAGCAAGGTGAAGAGAAGGGGTGAGTTTGTCATCGGCCCTACCACTAGCGTATCTCTGTTTGGCTCTTCCATAACTAGACAGATATAGATACATTGATGTATTTGTTTCAAATCATTTAAACTTGAAAAAAGAGTGGAAACTTTTACGACACAACAGAGAGGTGTGTTGAGTAGAGATCAAAAACAGGATTACCGCAACAGTATCATAAGAGGAAAAAAGACACTCACAAGAAGAAGTATAAGCTCCAGGAAAGAGTAGAACCGATGACAGCAGGGAAGAAACCTGCATAAAGTCCTCTCAATCCCTACAGAGGAGGGAGGGATGATAATAAGAAAAGTTGAGTTACATGCTCTCAAGAAGAAGATTGCGTGAAAGATGTTGGAAGGAAGGGAGTTTAAACCTCGAGACGAGAAATGGTGAAGAGAGCGTGAGCAGTGTTCTTGTATGTCGGAAGACTACTTAACCCTCTTCCCTCGTTCACTGTTTCAATCAAAGTTCAAAACAAATAATTGACTTCTTTCTCTTTTCAGATGGGGGGGGGGGGGGGGGGGGGG